CAGCTCACATGGAAAGTTTGGATAAACTGTGTTCATCATTCGTTGAACAGTAGCTCAGATCACTGTGTGTCATCGATTCTGTCAAGATGTGAAATTGGAGCGTACGACAGAACAGAGAGTGAATGTGAAATTTTGTGTTAACTGCAGAGATTGCCAAGTGAAACATCAGAGATGTTAAAAACAGTTTATGATGAATCTACTGTGAGCAAGCGTAATGTTTCTAAGTGGCACAAACATTTCAGAGAATGCAAAGAATATGTGAACAATGATGAAAGTTAAGATGCTTCTGTAACGAGGCAAAGAGACGTGAATGTCACAAAAATCAGGGAACTTGTGTGATCTGACTGCCAGATGACTCACAGGATGATAGCTAATGAGCTTGATATGAGCAAACAGACTGTTAAGAAAATTTTAGTATAGGATCTTGTGGCATGAGAGTTGACAGTGACTGATGGAGGAACAAAAGGAAAGACGTCTCACTTTGTGCGTGGACTTTGTGCAACAACTTCAAGAACATATTTTTTTTTTGGATCATGTCATCACTGGTGATGAAACATGGTGTTATCAGTATGATCCTGAGGCCAAAGAAGCCACAGATGTCAAAGTCCAAGATCAAAAGAATGTTGATCTACTTTTTTGACGTCAGGAGTATCATCCACTTTGAATTTGTATGCGAAGGGGCCAATTTTAATCAGGTATTTTGTGTGGAGGTGTTAAAAACGCATATTGATGCCATGAGGCATGAGCAGGGAGATTTGTGGAGGGATCGCTCATTGATTCTTCACCACGACACCACGCCAGCACGTACTTCACTTTGAGTATTGCAGTCTTTAGCAGGAAAAGGCATCTCTGCCGTGGATTATTCACTGTACTCTCCTGACTTTGGTCCAGCTGACTTATGGCTGTTTCCAAACGTCAAGAATATGCTTAAAGGAAAGCATTTCTAGGACACTGAGGAGATTAAATCCATGAAAAAAATAATTTACAGGCATTCCTGTTCAAGATTTTAAAAGCTGTTTTGAACAATGGCTGAATGGCTGGAATCTGCAGCTCACAAAATAAAGTTTTAAGAAATTATTCTCAAAACTTATTTGTCCTATGATACAGGAACAGTCCCTGAAATTGAGTGTCGATCAACAAGACATGTGTGATTGTGTGATTGTCCAAGAGGATTCTATGTGTTCCTTCATTTAGTGTCTGTGTTGTGTTTTGATAAGTGATTTCTCCTTCCGCGCTTATTTCGTACAATTTGTCCCAAATAGGTAGTGCATTCCCACTTTGTATTCAAGAGGTCCTGAAGTCCAGTCATTTCCTCCAGTTAAAGTTGTCTTTCATGATGAATCCATATTATCTGTCTCTTGGAGAAACTCTCATTTTATCTCCATCACCTCCCAAATTAAGATATTTCTGTTCTGTTAAGGGTGTTACAGAATCTTTCCTGTAATGCTCTTTTGGGAACTGATAAAATCTCATTTTTTTTGTTATTTTCTCTACAGTGTTCACAGCACTGCCACCTCCAGTGACAGTTTCGTGATTGGGATCCTCCGGGTGTATTCTCTGACCAACCACACTTTTTATTATCTTCCAACACTTCTTCCAATTGTACCATCAGATTTATGTATATTGTTTTGTTAAATTAATAAGTTTTGGTTTTTCAAGAGTTCTGTCTTCTAGGATATAACACCCTGTAGTCTGATGAAAGTCAATTGATATTTTGGAGGAACATACCACCTCCATCTTCAGGGTCAAAGAACAAGCTAAGTAAGAAACCAGCAAGTATCAGCCAGCCAGTAGACCCGGAAGATAGAACGCCACATAACCATCACTTTCATAACGTCAAATCATATGTAATGATATGGTGCAATTTTTTCACCAGCAGCTATTCAACTGGGATTGAGTGGAAAGTGCCCAAATGATTTATGTGCTGTTCAGAGGATCAAAGGTGCATTCTACATTAAGATTGCAGAAGGCCTGTCAGAACAGTTCCACCTCACAGTTCAGCCATATCCAGATTGTGTTCAAATTTTGAAGGTAAATTTATGCCAATTTCTATGAGACATATGACAGAAAACATTGCTTCCGAATCAAAGTGACATTAATTCAGCAAAGAAGAATATATATAGTGAGGCTCTTACAGTTCTCCCTTGAATGCAGAATTGAAGGTTTTTCTTGCTGCTAGTGTGTGGTAAGTTACTATATATGGTGCAATAATTTACCATCCTTTGGCTGCTGGACAAAAATTTTAGCCCTCAAGGTGATTGTTAAAACCAGCAAAGGTTGTGTATTTGTCTTTTTATTCATTATTTCACTGTAGCTGCTAGTGTTGCTTCTGCAAGGCTTGTCTACAGCAAGATATATGCACAGTTTGTGTACTGTTTTCCAGTTGTCACGAAACCAGTACAAGCAATAGAACAAGTGTGATCTTCCCAGTTCTTTTATGAATATTCTGATATGATTGACATAGTAGATAGTAGTTTCATTATTAACAGAAATACCATAGCTTAAAAGGTTGTGCCTTTATGAGATAAATTCTCCAAACTCTTTAACACACTGAGGACTGGTCGCATGATATCATGATTTTAGGACATGTTAGTTTGTAACACACTATACCTTGCTCTGGCGCCACCCAAGTTGCACGCAATGGCATAATAAAACTCTGGAATGCTTACTTGTTAGTAACTTGATCTTGCTGTTTTCTTAAGCCACTATAAATTAAAATGCTTTGCTGCTCTTCAGGCTGTATGTATCAGCCAGTAGTTAGTGGTGGGGTATGGACAAGGACAAATTTTTCTCTGATAAGCCAGCTGACCTGCCTTGTGAGACATGTAGTTATGGTGATTGAGAAAGTGGCAGTGACAGGGGAGAACAAAGAATTGTGGCCACAGACAGTAGAAGTGACAGTAGCTCCGACGATAATGGGGGTAAAAAATCTAAAAAATCACAAAAATCTAAACCCTGATTCGAAATTGAAATACAAAGCATTTCTGATGAATGTGGCAAAGGCCTGGGCTGCAGACCAGATTGTGGTGGCAGAACCAGAGTCAGATACAGACTTACTTCGACCGGGCCCATCAACTCCCACCCCACGCAGGCCTCATGCGGACCCCCCAGGGCAACTCTCGGGTGATATGCGGAAACATACCCTCGTGAAAATTGTAAAGAGTGAACATTTCAAGGGGAAGCATCCTTCTAGGCAATGCCGTGTTTGCACAGTTCACAAAGGGGAATGTTTCCAGAAATATCACACCCTCCAAGCATTTCTAGGAGCAAAATTTTAGTTCATAAAATTAATTGGGGAGATTTTATATTAATTTTTAAAGTGAACAGTGCAAGTGTTGGGATAGTAGGTTTAATAATGGCTGTCCCCAGGGTGATTTAAATATTTAAATCACCGGTCCTTAATGTGTTAAGATATAGTATTTTAAATATCAAGGATTAGGTTAAAGAAGATGATAGAAGTGAGTGAAGTTAGAATTTTCAATGAGACGACGAGGCAGTAAGTTGGATGGATATGAACAGGAGGGAAGACGCTTGAGGCTGTACAGTAGAGACAGAAAAAACAATGCATTCATTGCCTTGCATTTCAAATGCTATATGAGAACCAGCCATTAACCGTTAGGTTTCCACACAACTGTTTGCATCTTCACAACTTACGGAATTGCTGTTAGGATCTCAGATAGCTCAAGTCAGTATGATGAACAGAGTTTGATTCCTGGCAGGGGCAGGATTTTTCTCTGTGCCACTTTGTCTGGACTGGAACCCAGCCAGCCTTCTCTCCCTTGGGTACTGGGGCCTTCTCCCTGTGAGATAAAGTGGTTGGGTCAAGAAGCTGACTACCCACCTCCATTCCATTTGGTTTCCAAGTACAGAATGTTTGGAACTGTACCTCCACTCCCCCATATATCTGCATGGTATGGTGGTTAGTTGAGCAGTGTAATGTGTCCATATGGTGTAGTGCTTCATAAAGCATGGGGATGACCTCACTTCCTACAGAATTGTCCTCAGGAATGGGGATGCAGTGAGTTCATTTCATGGGCCATTGCCTGTCTGAACTCTGTAAATCAGTCTTTCAGTGACTACAGTACCACCACACTCCTTGAAACATACCATTCTTATAACATGACAAATGACATGGAAAATGTGTCTATGTATTCACATTTCAAACTGTTCAGTACTCATGTATTCAGGGAGTTTTTTCTCTCTGGAAGTTTGACTGTTTGAGAGAGAGAGAAAGACCTCTTGAGGATATCTGTAATTCTGTGCTTATGTACAAGAATATGTCCCTCAATCCGGTCTAGAAAACTGAGATTAACGGCCATGGGGATTCATTGCACTGACCACACGACACCCTCTATCCGCTAAAGTTGGCACTAACTTTGCTGACAAGCGGCGGTTGCTCGGTCGGTATAGTTCACTTGTGGACTGCAGGCCACGGAGTGAGTGATATGTCCCTCAATAGTGAGCAGTAGATGTGTTAAGTTTGAAAGATTAATGCAATGTGTGGAACTTGTTCCAAGTGTGGTGTGGTGTCTATAGGATGGATTTGTGTTCTGCTTACATGTGGCAGACCAGCGTGAGATATCTTTCCTTAAAGAGACAGCTACTCCAGAGGGAGTTACCAACTATAGAGACACAGAAGAATCACTCGCACTGGAGAAGAACATTGTTCACCTTCTGAAACTCGCCAGTTCGTTGCATGGATTAGTTGTATATTGGATTTTAACAAATTGACATTTGCTTATGTATGATAAACCCTCCAGCTAAATCACACAGAGACTGAAGTATGAGTAATTTTATTATAAGAATCACCTGCCACTTTTCTTGTGAAAGTATCATTTTGTATGCAAGAGCAAGTTAGGTGGAAGTGTAAATGTGTTTTATATGAGCTCTGCTACTTGTTTCTGCACGTACCTTTGTTTTCACTGAGCAAGTTCTGAAGAAATTTGGGGTTGCAGATCACAAGAAAATGTATTAACTGTATTCAGTTTTTGATATCTATGAACAGTTATGATTACCGCTTTATTTGAAACACCATTTTGGACATCAAAAAATTGTGGCATGCAGACTCATTGCTGTGCAAAGACAGCAATATAAGCAGATATACAACAGCCATTACTAAGTAACGGCTTCTCAAACAAGACTGTTTCCATGGCAACGATTGGATACAGCAACACAGGTCCTTGCTGAGATGCTATAAGCACGACAGATAGTGAAGTCAGGTTAGTTGAGTTTGGTTAAGTTGGTTGGTTGGTGAGTGACTGAGTTAGTCAGTCAGTGAGTTCTAAAATTGCTGAGGTTCAGTTGTTGCGAGCTGTTGCTGTGAGGAGATGGTAGCTGAGGCTGGGGATAGTTCAGGAACCCAGAGGAAGGGGAACGTCTGACATTAGAAGCCACTACTGAGCAGTGGCTAGTGAAGACATGACCATGGACATTAGTGTGTGTATAATAGTGAACTGTAAAATGTAGTCATGTGCTGTATCCAAGAGTCCAATGAATCCAGTCATCAATTCAAAGCCTGTCTATAGTTGCACTCTAAAAACATGAAAATATTTGTAGGTCCATAATAATCTTAATGACCAAAATCATATGCTCCTAATAGAGAACTGCTACACATTCCTGTGATTTGACTGTAATGGGCGCTTCTTACTTGGATATATTGCAGAATTCTGTGGAAGACAATCTACCTCTACATATCTTAAGATATCATTTCTTTCAAAAAGTGGGTTCATCCCCGCATTATTACTTACTAGTTTGAAGATCCAATCATATGAACCAGAACCGGTCATTTTCGTCGTCCGTTAACATCCTACATATGACAATATACTTATACAGATACTAAAGAAGAGACCAGTTGATAATCTACACAGCCATCATTTGAACACACTCATAATGTGAATAATCATGACATGGTGTTGCAGTGGACACCTTGCAGTAAGCTGAGAAATTAAGAAATTATTTCAGAACATTGGGGGCAATCTGGATAATGGTGCAAACCCAAAACTCTTGTCTGTTGCAAAAGAAAAATTCAATAAGAATTATGTTCCAGAAAACATTAATATTGCTATAGAACAAGTTTATATCAACCCATATCTTACATCTGTCAGTATAGCATGAAGCTTCCATGTGACAACTGTTGGTACTCCAGAGAATACAGCACAGTGTTACATAGTTGCATAAGTTCTTACTTATTAGCTTTCAAGAACTGAATCCCTGAAAGTCATTTTGCCCATATACACCCTGACATATTCCCTTATGCAAGAAACCAGAATGAAACTGGCAGCAATCAAATACGCTTGCTGTCTGCTTAACGTTGGTTTCCTTCTTGGCTTATTCTTCAACCTTGAAGATGGAGACCTTATGATCATCCAATGTATCAGCTGACTTTCACCAGACTACACTGCGTTACGCCCTAAAAGGCTGAATTCTTCACCAGTTATGATCTTCTTGTATGTGGGAAAAGTTTACGGATGATGATAATATATTGAAAACTGTCTGCAACAGGCTCCAAAGCTGTCCCAAGGAATTCTACTAGTGTGGTACACAGGGCCTGGTTCAATGTTGGTAAAAGTGCACAGAAACTGACTAACATTAGATTTGCTGTGTAAGTAAATGCCTTCAATGTTAGAATAATTGAAACTGGAATTAAATTTCTTGAGCAAAAACTAGCATTACTCAGTTCTGGTCCTTAAAATGATACACAAAACATCTTTGAGTGAAAAAAAAACTGAAGTCTGAATTATTTTCTATTATATTTCATAAAGTATAACAGAAATAATACAAAACCTATCATATCCACCTACATGAGCTGTCAATTTTGTAATCAAGAACATACAAATACCAGTTGTTTTTTTTTCCACTTCTGCATAAATATAATTAACATTAATCTGTTGATCATAATGTCATGGTTGTCAGAATACCAGACCATATCACAAAAGGTTTTACTATGTGAGCCATACTAATAATGTGGCTTCAGCAACAGAAAGAAGGAAACTTCATTTCAGGTTCGTACTCACTCAGTAGGCACCATCTGCTTAGATGTTGCTGCAGCTGCCCAGAATTGCTTTATGAACTTGTACCACTCCGCTTGATACCAATGGTTAATGAGTGTAACAACAATCCAATTTGAAACAACAAAAAAGAATAAAATGAAGTATAATAAAATTTCTTATAACATTACATATACAGCATATACACAAAAATGATGCAGTTTCAAATGTTAATAAAAATTATTTCTCACCTTTCATGGGCATACCATATACCATCAGCAGCAGCAACTGTCCAAGTTTCTCATGCTTACTGTGTGGCCACGGGGCCAGTTTCAAAGATGGCATTGCAGCAGGAGAAGGCTTTCTGTGTGCTGCGTTTTGAGGTGTCCAGATCTGTGATTACAGTGCAGCATGAGTTTCATGCATGGTTTCAAAAAAGAGGCACCACACAAGAATAACATAAGCAGGTGGTACAGTTTGTAGAAACTGGATGCTTGTGTAAAGGCAAAGAGTCCTGGTCGACCTCATGTGTCTGATGACGACACTGAAAGAGAGCGTGAGGCGTTTCAGCGAAGTCCCTAAAAGTCAGTGGGTAGAGGGAGCAGGGAATTATGGTGTGGAAGGTGCTGCGTAAGCTGCTGAGTTTTAAACTGTACAATACGCGATTGGTGCAGGCCCTTAAACCAGTGGACCAAGTGAAAAGGAGTGACTTTTGCGAGGAGATGCAGTCGAAAATGGAGGAAGATGGGTTCGTAAAAAGACTGATCTTCTCCAATGAAGCCACTTCCCACATCAGTGGCAAGGTGAACAGACACAATGTCCATATCTGGGGAACTGAGCAACCACATGCACAGAGAGAGCACCAGCATGACTCTCCAGAAGTCAATGTTTCCTGTGCAGTATCCCGCGAGAAAGTGCACTGCCCATTTTTCTTTATTGATTTATTGATAGATTCCCCCCCCCCACCCCATTTTCACAGGAATGTATGAGTGTTTCTCAATCGTGTTCTTCCACAGCGCTGGATCGGACGTGCTGCAGCAAATGGAGACAACAAACTTCTGCCTTGGCCACCCGGTTCGCCAGATCTTACACCGTGCAATTTTTTCTTTGGGGCATGCACTGCAGGCCATTACAGTGGACAGGCTACACCGGGTTTGAGATGAGTTTGATTACTGTGTTGATGTGTGTTGTGTGACCCAGGGTGCACACACTGAAGGTTTGTAAATAACACATGAGAAACTTGGACAGTTGCTGCCACTGACGGTGTATGTTGTGCCCATGGAAGTTGAGAAATATATTTCTTATTAACTTTTGAATTCACACCATTCTTTTGTGTATAACTTGTATAAATTTATATAATTAAAATGACAAACTAAAAGCATGAAGATGTCTAGAAAAATGGAATTGGCATGCAAACCTAAAAGTGACACTAAAAGTTAAAGGTCTGGTAGAAATATCAATCATATTCTTCCTCTTGTTACCATTAGCTTGCATAGTTACATGATAAACAGGGGTGGAAATGGCACTTTAAACTATGCGGATGCTACAGATCAACAGAAAAGGCTAAGGGAATGAACAACACATATTACAAATGAAATTATTACAATGCATGTTCAGGTATTCTTTCCTATGTGAGCCATTGTCAGGAATGACATCTTAAGGCAATGGAAAAAGTTCTGTTAAAAATAGTTCTCTGGAACTAATCAGATGGCATCTACTTGTGTCTACATCCACTTCCAGTCTTGATCATAACATTTACCAAATGGCTAGACGATAACTTAAATAATGCCCACTTTTACTGAGGCATGAGTAAAGCTTGTGTAAGCAGTAACAATTAAACTATCCCAGCACATATACCATGATCAAAGAGCATCTAAGAGAGTCAGAAATTCTAATACATGCTGAGTGTCCCAGTCATCTGAGTCTAATATATCCTGTTTACACGCAAAAGTAATATTTCTGTCATTAACCATAATTTCAAAGGTACTTTAGTCACACAAGTTTGCTGTGTCAAAGTACACACCAAAAATTTAACTTATACACACTTCTGTATTCAAATTCTTATCTCTCATGTAAACTGTAAATGAATGAACAACACACTCAATATTTATATGAAGTCATGTAGGATTTCTTAGGACAGAAGTTCTTGTTCCATACCCAGAGCTTCGAGGAAGAGCCCCATGGGAGTTCTCTTCAGGCCAATCACCTCCATTTTATTGACAAGTTTGTTTCTCACATTCCGAAGCCTCATGGATGCATGAATGAAGCTCACTACAAAAATAAATTGTAAGGCTTCTTATACTATTAAAGACATGAGTATATGTGTTCTGACAACAAAGTTCACAAAATGCTACATACCTCATTGCTGAATATCACTGTGGTTACCTTCAAAGTACTCCCTTTGGGAAGCTGCACACAAATACCAGCACCTAGGCCACCCTTCAAAACAATTTTGGGACAGGTTTTGTGGAATGGCCTTCAGAGCCGCTGTCATATTAATCCTGATGTCATCAGTCATCAAAATGCGTTCCTATCAATATTTCCTTTATCTTCGGGAACAGAGAAAAGTTAACTGGTGGCTATATCCAGTGAATAGGCAGGGCCTTCCAGCACAGGTATTTGTTTGCTAGCTAAAAACTCCCTCACAGACAGTGCTGTGTGAGCATGTCCTTAGGGACCATTTTCGCACACACCTTCCTCATGTAAAGATCTTCAGTAAAGATTTTCCTAAATGTTTCTCCGTCGATGTTCACTTACTCTGCTATGCTCCCGACAGTCAGCAGATGATTTTCAAGCACACCAAAACATGCTCAGACAATAATAGACATCACGCAGAAAGAGACTGCCATAGATCAACAATAACATAGCTATGAAATTCTGATATGCCAATGTCATCAAACCATACTGAAATTTCTGTCCATTGCTACCTCAGCAAGCACACAGTGGTGAGTTTGCGAACTTTATTGTCAGAACTCTTATATTATAATACTGGCATAAGTATGTCAGCCCTCCTTTAACATTGGATTTATGGCAATGGGGGAGATTTTATACACACAAATGAAATAAATGCCATGTTATCAATTACTCTAATTTCAATAAATCCTATCAGCTAATAAGATGACACAGCACTTGGCATGAATTAGAACACAAACATCATATGTTATTTAGCAATAGCAATACCTGCAGTGGTTACAAAAACCTGCAGAACATGTGATCATAAAAATATCAATAATTTTATATTAACCATAAATGTGTCAACATGAGTTACAGATACTACTGCATCAATTAAAAAACAATTAGTGACTAATAAATTGGTCCAGTGGTATCAAACTTAGATAAATCATTGCTTGCTGCCACACTATTTGCTAAATGCATAAACACTACCGTAAAAATTTATAAGAACCCACTATAATGGAGTTCATGTCTCCTTCTAAACAATGAAATGTGGGCAAAAGTATTCAAAGAAACTGTTGTACACAGAAACCCCAATTAACTGATTTATATACAGTTCATTCAATGCAGACTTCATAGCACTGATTAACTGTAAATAATGAACCATAAAGGATGTAAAGCATGTGGTCATGGCCTAATTTATGGCATTAGCCTGGAGGGGCTGAGAAAAACCATGAAATATCTCAGTCAGGAGTGTCAGCATCCTGCTCAAGATTCACACCAGGCACCTTCTGAATAAAAGTCAGAAGCATTACCCCTTCAGCCTACCTGCTCACTAACCCCCCCCCCCCCCCNACGGCCGCGCTTTACTCCCAGGAAAATTATTTAATTAATTCCTGGTACTCATTTCTGTTAGAGGCTGAGTGAACCCCAGGGCCATAGTGCGGCCGGAAGGATTAGATCAACTGAAAAAAATCCAATGACCTCACCGGTATTTGAACCCGCGACCTTCCTACTTATCATTAAAAATGAATGTTAAATCAAGGAAAGCTACAAAAAATCAGCACTGCAATTTCAGAAACTACTCTTGTTGTTCATGGTGGTTACTTACACTCAACAGCTCTAGGTTCTTGGATTCAGACACTACTTTTGTGACCTTTAAAACATAGACAATATGAAAGAGAACTGTATCCTAAACTAAAATATCCTGTGTCTCTAGGACTTCATACGGAAAACTGCAGCACACTCTTTATAACCACTCGTACAAACAGATCAGTTAGCATGAAACAAATAAAAATGAGAATATATCACACTATAACCTAGCATAGGCTTTAGTTCTCTTCACATCAACTTCTTCAAGAACTGCATATAAGACCACATCTCTTGTAAAATGGAAGTTTTGAAAATGGATCAAATGTAAAATTGCATGTGTGATATTAAACTTTTAGGGACCCTGTACCTCTTCAATGCAGGGTGGGATCCTTGTAAATAACCTATCTGGTTCTTAATTACCCTTCAGTGCCGTAGTCTGTGCATGGCACACCACTGTCACATGCCGCCGAAGTCCGTACCTAGCACGCGTAGTGCAGCTCTAAGTTTCAGCTCATATTTTGAACTGTTTTTCATGTAAAGTAATTCTTTTGGTATGAAATTAAAGAGGAAATTTCGTACATTCTTTGTCCCACTTTGAACTTCCTATGGCAGTTGTATTACATCTGAATTCTTTGAAAAAGTTTTCTACCTCAACATTTGGTGCGCTTAATAACATACAAATCTATCCTTGCCCCTAGGGGAATGAACTAAATATGTTAGATTGATACCATTTCCTGTCCTGCATGCTGATCGAATGAAAAGTCGTTTCTCTTGAGGCATATTCTGACCAGTGCTGCTTCTAGATTGGAATTTGTAACCACGAGAAAACACATGGAGAATCTACGACTTTTGAGATATGATGCTGACCCTAAGAAGTGTTACGACTGCTATGTAGCAAACGATACACAGTTCACTATATTAATGATACTGCTGCAATTCCCCTTTGTTCTATAAATATGCATCATGCAGTCTGGTTTTAGCAGCCAAGGCCAGTCACGAGCAGCAACCTAACTAGCTATGTTGTGTCATGACCAGTGGAGGATATATTTACTTCAAACCATATCAGACCAAAGTTTTATCAGATTCAGGAGATACATAATTTGACACTGAAACTGGATGTCTGTGCTTTCCTCGATTTTGTGGTAAATGACAATCGAGAAAAGCACAAACATCCATTGGGAGAATATGCAAAACTACAAGGGGCATAAAGAAAATTTCCAAATGTGATGATAATATGTAGCAATAACACAAGGAAAATAATAGATCAATTATCATCCAGAATTCAGTTAACTGAGGGACTCTCCGTGAAATATGCTAATGCTGTAGGACACAAAGTGCTGGGTCGACATTCGTCACACAAACAGTGTCCCGTCGAAGAGAAAGACATTTTATAAGCAAGATTCTACGAACTCCGAAGAAATCAAGACCACAGAAGTGGCTTGTTGTGTGTCAAAAACTGTGTACTGGTGTGACGCATGTGACATGGGACCCTGTGTGGAATGTTTTCACAACTAGCACACCCAGTTGAATTTCTAAGGTAATATGATACTATCATTCATCATTTTTATAGGCTTACTGTACCCAAAACATAATAATTTTAAAGCAGTGTGGATCAATACACCGATTCTATATACATTTCTGAACGTAGTGTGAAAAATTAGAAAAATAAAACTCCAGATTTTCCCAATTTATTACACTTTAAGCGAAATGTTGTATTTACTGTAATGTTTAAATACCTCCATCCCAAGGACTGAGTAGGAATTAAACGTTGTGAATTGCTGAAGGGTTAAAAAAATATGAATACTATTTTTACAGTACTGCTATCATTTGGTGCCATCTGATATGTCAAATGAAAATTCAGAAAACAACAAATGACAATTATGCTAGAAGTTGCACTGCAAGTGAGGAGAGAAGAATCTGTGAACATACAGACAGTAAAGCTGCTGTGCATATACATATGTATGTACATACGTACCCATAATTGGCAAGAGAATACCAAGGAGGAAAACTATTACTGATCCCAGCATGTAGACAATGAAATATCCTCCACCCAACACGATTAAGACACTGATGACTGGGTGGTCCTTCTTGAACTTTGTAGCAGACCTCTTTGCATTTGTTAAATAGTAGAATAAACCAAAGGCAACCCCAATGGCCAACATTCCACACAACATTTTTGTTGGGTGAATTACCCTGTGAAGAAAAGTCAACTGTAATATTATTCTGAATGTGCTTGATTACTGTTCACATATACTACTGTCTTTCTCAACAGACTGAACTGGGTGTGCCCAAGCATGAGAAAAACATGCAGGTGGTAGATGAACCTGCTTTAAACAATATACACACACGAAGAAGCACTGCAGCTGCATTACTATACAATACTTACAATACTGCTTATCTTGTACAGGTACGAATGCATGAGCAAATGACTCATTGCAACACATAACAGTCATCTTTGTTTCTGTTCACATAACATCAACCAGAAATCTGTTACAGTATTAAATTTAAAAGGTGAAATACACAATTGAACAGAGGTTTTAGCATTGCTGGTTGAGGCATTATGCTGTAATATGGAAGGCTGTGGGTTCAATTCCCGATTAGGTCATTGGAATTTTCAATTGACCTAATCCTTCCAGCTGCACTATGGCCCTAGGGTCTACTCAGCCTCTAACAGAAATGAGTACCAGGAATCTTCCTGAGGGTAAAGGGTGGCTGGCGCAAGGCTAACAACCTTATCGCCATCTGTGAGCTGATTGCCTAGAAAATGTGGGATTCTCGACATCTCACAACTCTATGGTCCTCCACAGCCTATTACAAGGATAGCTTTACCATTTTAGAACACGTTTCTCTGTATGTTACTTATGTGAAAAATAAATCATACGAATCATATAAAAAGTCACAAGTATTTTGTGTCGACATTCCAGCTTCATCTACGATTTTAAAATTTGTGAAGGATAATTCAATTGGGTCCTTCACCAACAGGAAATACACCACACATCATCCATCAACCAAGGAAAAGCTTGACAGAACATCTGCGTCACAAATGCATAACACGATAGGCTCAAAAAGTACAAATTTTGACAATAATGCTCTGAGGGACTAAAATGTTACATTTGCTACAGTATAGAACTAGACTGGTTCAAGCACATAATTGCAGAAGGCAGTTACAAGAGAATACATATTTATAACTGTTTTTTGCAAGTTTTTTAACTGCATTCTTGACCAAAATCTTGCAGTTTTTACTGACGCCTGATTTCATCTCAGCTGGTATGTCAACAATCAGAATGGGTACTGGAACAGTATTAATCTGAACCGGTCATTTTAAGTACCATTCATAACCAGAAGACTGGGTTGTGGTGTGCCATTAATACTAGCAGGAACCACATTTTTTAACAGGTTTTTAATTCAGAGAACTATATCAGTAACATTACTCAAACCTTTTCTGAGAGCGTCATGGAAGAAGGAAAGACATGGTTATTGTATGCAGGATGGCATTACAGAATATAACCAGCCAAGGTTATCTGACCTGCACTTGGGTGATGGTAGATGGGTAGTTCTGGTGGATTATCTTCTGTGGGTAGATATTCTGATGGAAGGATTTATTAAGTGAGGTACCCTACCTGGCAAAAGTTTCGCATTATGGCATATAACCGGCCAAGGTTATCTGACCTGCACTTGGGTAATGGTAGATGGGATGCTGATGGGTGGTTCTGGTGAATTATTTTCAGTGGGTAGCTATCTTTATGGAGGAATTTATTAAAAAGTTTAACTCTTTCTTGAATGTGGCATTTATGGTTATACACCTTACATGCACCATACAACAAGCAACAATTATTCACTCATAAGGAAAAAGTTAATTCCTTAGAGCCCCCCAGTTCATACACTTAGGACGTCAAATTATCCAAAGTCACACAATAAGGTGGTGTAATGCAACAATTTGATAATTTACTAACAGATGTAAATTTAACTACATTTCTGGATATTACTTCATTAATTTGTTCAAGCAGCCAAACACATCCACTGCTTTCCAAAACTGAGAACACAACCCCCCCCCCCACTACCAAGACAACTTGCAACAGTGATTCATCATCCCTCCAAGGAGTGGCTTCCAATGCTAATACAGCTCCCTCATTGCTAACTGGCAGATTCAAACTGAGTTCAAAACCTTAAATTCAACACATTCAATCTTACTGGTCAGAACTAAAGAAAATCATGTCACTTTACATGATGTGTGCCCACATTGAGTATTGAGTATATAGAGGGGGTGGGTTTCCCCATGCACTTAGACCAGTTATTGGTCCATTGTGCGTCCCCCTTTTAATTTCTACTGTCTCCATACCCTACCGGTACTGGTGCTTGCTATTAGCCCCTTTCTGCCAGCGAGGTTCCAACCTTCTACTGGCAGTGGTATCTAATAGTTAGTCCCTTTATGTCAGAGAGGTCCCCCTTCCTCTGGCACTGGTACCTAATACTTCCCCATCTACCGGAGGCATTGGAAACTACTTTAGGCAGGAAACTTTTTGCCAAATTTAGCTCAGAGGTCTCCTAGAGACATGAGGTTCTTTTACGTGCCGTAAATCTACGACACGGGACCAATAGCTTAAAGTCCCTCCCGGAGGACTTGTTCCCTGAATTTTTCCGCCCTTAAAAATTCCACAACCTCCGCCGGGTTTGAACCCGCGTATCTTGAGTCATGAGGTGGGAACGTTACTCCTAGATTACAGAGGCCGCTTTGTGTGCCCACATGGGCATGCCATCAGCTCCAGGACCTACTTCAACAGTCTAAACCTGATTTACACTTACAAAAAAATTGCTTTGTGCTCAGATTTCTGGCTCCAAATCTTACAAAAGAACTCCGTGCTTCACAACATACTAATGTACAGTAAAATCTGTTTTAAATGGACCCTTTATTAAACGAAATTTGTCTTAAATGGAAATATTTTCAGGTCCCGTGACTTTGGGGCTGAAAAAGATGTTAAATATCCTGGATTAAATGGAAACGGAAATCAAATTAGGCCTTCATACGGAAAATTTCCAGTCTTCCAGAATGCATCGTTTAGAAGAATTTTAGGCATCCTACACATGCTACAGAATTTTGTTTTCTCTGACTCTTTAAATTCAGCTTTTAATGGTACTGCACTACCTGCACTGAAATTCAACTGCACTGTTTGCCTCTTCCGGAAATTTTAACTCTGTTAGGGCTCTAGGCTTACATTTTTACTTTAGTCTAGCAGTTATCATGGCTACAAAGACAAGAGTTGTGCTTGATCTTAACACAGGAGTAAAAGTGATTCATGCGAGCAAGATAAATTGTCTGTTAAGCAGATCATGAAGATGTTTAACATCAGCAAAACTCAAGTGTATGAGATTCAAAAGAAGAAAATGGAAATTCTGAAGCAGTGGGAAAATTGTGCTAATTGAAGAAATAAACAGATAACTTAAACTGCAAACAAAAACATTAATGAAATAGTGTGGGAGTGTTTTGTCAGTATCAGGGCGAAAAATCACCATGTGTTGGGTCCTGTGGTATAGGAATATACTTAAAAGGTAACTGAAAAAGGTGAGAAGACACTGAAAGCATCTAACTGTTGGCTGGAGAGTTTATGCAAAAGACGTCAGACAGTTTCTATAATTAACTTTGTGGTGACTCAAGTGATGTAAATAGTGAGACCACTTAGGAGTGGGTAGCTAAATTGCCATCCATAATCGAGGGATATGAACCTGAAAACATAGCGAACGGTGATGAGACTAGAGTGTTCTTCCACGCTTCTGAATAAATAGCTATGTCTGAAAAGTGAAAAATGTTCGGGAGGAAAATTTGCAAAGAAAGACCGACTGTTTTTCTATGTGGTTTTATGTCGGGTGAAATGGAGAAACCCTCAGTGATCAGCAAGGCAGCAAAGCCATGATGCTTCTGAAGCATGGACATACAGAAACTTTGGTTCCATGGAGATCGAACAAAAAGGCATGAATGTCATCACAGAGGAATGGTTAACAGCTTTCAATGGCAGAATAAAAATGAAAAACTGGCAAGTTTTGTTTTTCTTAGGTAACACAACATGCCAATCCCATATCGAAATTTCCAACGTGCGAGTTGCTTGGTCCCCTCTAAACACCACTCATGTTTCTCAACCAATTAATCAGGGCATCATTCGGAATGTTAAAGTCCAGTATCATGAATTATTAATGCAATATCTGCTCGCCAATATAGACTCTACAATATCCGCCTCTGAACTTGTAAGCACTGTACTGGTTCTAGACGCAGTCATTTGGACAAGTCATGCAGTAAAGAAGTTATTACCAGAAACTGAGAAAGTGTTTCAAAAAGCAGGATTTTCCACATTTGAATTTACTGCTAGTGTATAAAATGAGAATGACCAGCAGGACTTACAAAATTGCATGAATGAAGCTGCTTTCAATAACTGCAATGCTAAGGGCTACAGGTACATCAACATAGACAAAGATGTGCATATAGAACCAAACACAACGGATTTTGATGCATTAGCTCAGAATTTTCGACTAAGTTGAAAAGGAAGAGAGGAGACAGAGGAAGAAGAGGAAAATGACATTGTGACAGACGAAGAAAAGTGTAGAGTGAAGACTTATCAAGCCGCTGTCAAAAAGTTTAAAGGAGCTGCAAGAATTTGCTATACAGGTAGCGTAGTTGGTTGAGGGGCTATGCTACAAGCCGGAAGGTCGCAGGTTCAAGTCCTGATGAGGTCATTGGATTTTTTACACTTGACCTAATCCTTCCAGCCACACTATGGCCCTGGGATTGACTCAGCCTCTAACAGAAATTAGTGCCAGTAATTAATTAAATAATTTTCCTGGGGAGTAAAGCGTGGCCGGCGCATAATGCTGACAGGTTACCGCCATCTTTGAGCCGATTGTCTAGATAATGTGGGATCCTCAACATCTCACAACCCTATGGACCTTCATGGCCTGGTACAGGGATAGCTTTACTTTTACTTTATGGAATCATTCAGATATGCAGGGTGTACTTTCTCAAGGTAAACAGCATGCAAAAACTGCTTGAGTTCTGGTAAAGTTATAAAAAGTGAGTACTACAATTTTTTCTGTTCAGTGTAATGTCTGCATGTGTTCAATGATGATAAGGTGAATAAATTAATGAGTATGTTATATTTTAGCATGCCATTGCATTAAGGCATTATCCTTATTATGAAAGTACCCGTCAATAATGCAACAATATAAAAACCATCAAGAATATGTCACTCACTAAAAATGTATTTTAAATATGGGAGCAGGTGGACAAGTGAACAGAGCAGTGGTCTCCCCAAAAGCAAAACAAAAAATCACCTGATGATGGGCCATCTGCTGCCAAAACATGTCGCAAACTATGTTTTTTTATTCGCTTAGTGGGGGGTGGAGTCCAACTGGGTCCACTTGGCCTACTGTAGCCTGCCCTGGGTGATTATGATGATAAATTTGGTGGAATGAAGATTGGCAGGGGAAATCAGAGTACTTGGAGAAAACTCACCCCAGTGCCACTTTGTCCACCACAAATCCCACTTGACCAGACCCGGGATCGAACCCGGGCCGCCGCAGTGGAAGCCAGCGACTAACTACTTGAGCTATGGCATGGCCACATGTTGCAAACTGGAAAAATTATATGTAAAACTAGAGACATTTTATAAATTTGATAATCACTTTTAATGTATAAAATATACTATTAGTGTCTTACTGACATTTTAATGATTTTAGCATCATAAAGTATTAAATAAAATTGTTAGTGAGTGATATATTCTTGATATATTGTTGCATTATTGACAGGTACTTTGATAATAAGGACAATGAGTGTGTCTTTTGACTCAAATATGTGTATGTCCTGGTTTAATTATTATAGTATACCTTAATTAAATGGAAACCTGGCTTCAGCAGAAAAATGTTCTGGACCCCTAATATTCCGTTTAAAGACAGTTTTTAACTGTAATTTTAGTCCAAATGAGGCAATACAATATTTCTGTATTCCCAATTTACTTTTATTAGTCTCAGAAACATGAAAATTTACATGATGAAATTAGGTTCATTACTTTAATTGTAGCATCAATCTAGATTAATAAATGAAAATCTAAACAAATAATTATATATGCCTATAATTCTAGGCAACTACGAAAATGTTGCCAATTAATCCATAAATGTTAATGCCAGTTCAAAAATTACCTGTTACACTATGTACATTCCCAACTTTCTGATTCAACAATTTGCCTTTTTTTTTACAGGTTCTTCATTTTGTTTAGGTCATGAAATGTTTAAGGGCCTTTCACCTTTTATCTACAGTTTTGTGACTGGGCATATGAGATCCTACAGTAGTGAAAGCAGAAATGCAACAATGGCTCAGAAGTGACCTCCATCAAACTCTCCATAACCATAACCACCCAGGATATATATCATTCGAATCATAATTTTATTATCTTTGTATATTATAATATCATTGTGTTATATATTGTATTATTATTATTATTACTATTATTATTATTACTTATTGTATTGTAAAGTATTTGACTTGTCCTATATCATGTACAATGATCCATGGATATGATATGAAATAAATAAATGAGTTTATGACTTCCCAGAGCAGAATAAGTTCAACACTTATTGCTAACAATTAATAAGAATCAAATAAACCGATATGAACTGGTAGTACATGGGATTAATTGGCTCCAGATGTTTCCGTAGCAGCTCTTCTTTAAAACTAAGGAATGTTTAGCAAAGAAATGTGATGGGTTTACACAGTTCATGTATAAACCCATTTGTTTCAATTAGCCAATTAGGAGCAGCTCTAGTTTAAACTGTGTGACTTTCTTTGATCTGAATGTTTGTATCCAGGGGCACACAATTTTGTAGTATGAGTATGAGGGGTGAGCCATAAAACTGGCCCTCGCATTGTGACCTTCAATCATCTATTGTGCTTAAATAATACTACTTAGTTCATGATGCTGTAGGAACACATGTAGAATTCAAGATAGTCACAAATTACTCTAGGCACTCACATTTCCTCTCTCATTCACTCCATTACTAACTGCACTACCACCATTCACACAATATAAATCCAGTGGATCATATGACACTAAGAAAGCTAAAGCTATCCCTGTAACAGACCCTGAAGGCCCACAGGGTTGTGAGAGGTTGATGCTCCCACACTTTCTCTAGACAATCAGCTCACAGATGGTTGTAAGATTGTTAGCCTCACACGCCTGCTGCCCCTGAAAGATTCCTGATACTCATTTCTGTTAGAGGCTGAGTTGACCCCAGGACCATACTGCAGCTGGATTAGGTAAACAGAAAATATCCACCTCATTGGGATTGAAACCTGCGACCTTCCATCTTGTAGCACAGTGCCTCAACCAACTATGCTACTGCATGCCCCTCATATAACACCACTGAACAAATAATTAACATTTTTCACAGTACACATATTGGAGTTGGGATAGATGTCTGTATAGATATAGGCTATGGGATGGATGATAGGGGTTCGACTTCCAGCAGGTGCAAGAGATTTTTCTCTGCTTCACAGCGACTAGACCAGATAATACAGTCCACCCACGCTACTATTCAATGGCTACCAGAAACTCTTTCCCCAGGGGTAAAGCAGCTGGGGTGTGAAGCTGACCACTCACCTCCACCTAGGATTGAGCTCCTAAATGATGGAGCTATACCTCCACTTCCCCACTTCTTCATGGCATTGTGCTTATTAGTTGCTTAATTAAGCACAAGAACAGCTTTATTTATCTTACAGTGATGAATATTAAGACTAAATTTTCCAGGATGTGATACTGTGTAACATGGTAGATATGTAATATCAGGGAATCTGGTTGGTAGGTAACACTGCGCCTCCAGTCTAGTAGACAGAGATGAGAGGCACAGTGTTTTTGATACACAAGTTTCCACCTACCACACTGCATGGCATCACATTCCATTTCATAACACAACAATCGTCATGAATTAAATCATCAGTCTTACATAAGTAACTTTTTAAAATACGAGTAACTTGCAGTTAAGACGCATGATATATCCTTTAATAAAATCAGATTCATAGCAAGTGTTCTTTTCATACTAGTCCGATTTCTGGCCCAAACAATTCCCGGGGGGGGGACTCTTGCAGCAGAGCACTTACGGAATGCAGTAATTTAAATTAAACACTAATATATATCTTATAAGGAAACGCTGAACTCTGAAGTCATGACTCACCCAACCAAAATAAATATTATTACAGAAAGAAGGAAGTAGTTTGTTTGGTAATACAAAAGATTGTTGATGACTCTGTTACCCCACTTCTCAAAATCTTTGAAGTTAGGTATCTGAAATCTTGCAGATTCGAGAAGGAAATCGTCCAGACTCCTTAATGGTGATACTTCCACTTCCATTTTCTTCTTGTTCATATTACTACTTCAAATTGCATCAGCTACATACATAGCCTATCCGCCCAATCCCACCACAAACATCACAAACGATCAGAAACAAGTAGCTTGGCAACTCACTGCAATTGGCTTGAAATGAGTGACGTTAATGCGTCAAATCGTAATTTCCTGCCATCTATGAATACAGGAAACGACAAAAAGTTGATCCGTGACGATGCATGTTCCCCACGGAACACTAACTGACGTTAGTGATTTCTGTCTGTGTTAGTGACGGTGTACTTGACCCTACTTCATATCCGATCGTTTAGGGCAGTGGTCTCAAACTGTGGGGCGCGCACCCCCAGGGGGGGGCGAAGCATACTTTCCTACAGATACAAATTGAAACTGTCCTAAATCAATTAGAAAAGTAACAAAAAATAAAAATACATATAGAAAACCTTTTGATGAGTACAGGCTTTAATTATCATGAATTTCAAAGTAGTTAGTTAGTTATTTGGAGAGGGTGGGTTTCCCCATGCACTTAGACCTGTATTGGTCCATTGTGCTTCCCTCTATGATTTCTACCAGTCTCTATATCCTACCGGTACTGGTACTTACCATCAGTCCCGCCCAGCCAGCGAGACTGGCTCTACTGGCTGAGAAGTATCTATAATGCTTTCCCCATCTACCAGAGGTATTAGAGACTGCTGTTGGGCGGGAAACGTCCGCAATTTTGGCTCAGTGACCTCCTTTGGAGATATGAGGTTCTTTTACGTGCCGTAAAGCTACGACACGGGACCCACGGCTTAAAGTCGCTCCCGGAGGACTTGTTCCCTGAATTTTTCCGCCCTTAAAAATTCGACGATCTCCGCCGGGTATTTGAACCCGCGTACTACGAGTCATGAGGTGGGAACGTTACCTCTAGACTACGGAGGCAGCAATTTCAAAGTAACTAATAATTATTCTCTTTACCGGCAAGTATAAAATGCGTATGCCAGAGACAGCGTTGATAGTTCGGCAGCAGCCGCATCCTCTGAAATCCTCTGAAGTCTATACTCTTTAAAATGCTGCGTGCAGGGCTTGAGGTGGGGCGGGATGCGGCAGGATGGCATCCCGTTACTTCTTTGGCAGTAAATGCAATGTACAATACCCTTTTTGGGAAAACCATCCCGGTTCTATTTTCATTCCACCTCAAGCACTGGCTGTGTGAGGAAATGAGTGCCGAACACACTGCTCTCTTGTTTTTTTTAGTGATGCTCGATGGCTTTCAAGAGGCAAGGTATTAAAGAGAATGTTTAAGCTGAGGCATGAGGTGTTCTGTTTTTTTAAATGGGAAAATCACTCACTAGCAGACAGTTTCAGCAACAAGGAATTTTTATTGAAAATGGCTTACCTCACAGATATTTTTGAGAAACTAAATATCCTTAACACTTCACTTCAAGGGAATGAGGCAACTGTACTTTCTTGGAACGAAAAAGTGAAGGCATTCATGAGAAAATTAGAGCTCTGGAGAAACAGTATGGAAAGAGACACGTTAAGGTGGGAATACACGAGCGCGCCGCTGCTGTAATGCAACATAGAACGAACGGGTATTCGCTCGTGTGTACGTGATTTTGAACACGCGCAGTGCACCCCTCAACTAACCGTGCAGCAATCCGGTTCCTGTCGGTTTTTCTGACGAACACAAAGGGATTCGTTGCCGCAGTGTGGTCGGGTTCGGTTGCCATTTGTCCTGTGAAGCGCGCACGCCTCAAACATGGAGTGGTCAGAAGAAGATATTTTGGGGCTCTTAGAGGCATACAGATCATTCCCTGTACTGTGGAATCCCGGAGAAAATGATTATTATAAAAAGAACAAAAGAAGTGACGCTTGGCGGGACATCGCTATGAATGTAGGGTGTCCGGAAGACGATTGCAAAAGAAAAATCATCAGCTTACTCTCGTCGTACCGAAGGGAGAAGTCACGCAAGAAAAAATCAACAGGAACAGGAAAAGGCAAGCTTTTTATTGTACTTATTTGGGTTTCATTTTAATACATTTAATTGTTTTGCTTTACAGTTAGTTTTGATTTTAATTACAAATTACATTTTACTCCTTTCTTTGAATTTGTTGCAGGTTCCTCAGAAGTGTATTGCAGCCGCTGGTTTGCTTATGAAGCGCTCCGATTGCTGGAGGTAAACTGAGGACCTCCGAGGTACCCTCTGTAGGGGAAGCATGGAAGTCATATTTACATCGTTTCTCCATGAACCTCCTGCCAATACTCACTGTCCAGTAATTCTTGAGCNATACACGTTTGATGAATGTCTTCTCAAATAATTATGCCAATGACTAATTTTCATAACGACTAATTGTGCTTTCTCTGGTTCCAACAGCACTGATTTTCTTAAAACCCTGAATACTGAACTTAGTATCCCGAAAGTATTTTCGACCACCCTATGAGTTCCACTTAATCGGTAATTGAAGATTCTTTGGTAAGATCCCTTCACATGATCTCCTGAGTACGGCTTCATTATGTTTTCTCTAAGTGGAAATGCGCTATCAGCTGCAATGAAGTACGGTACTTTCATTTGTCGTCCAGGAAGTTCTGTTGGAACAGGAAATCTCAAAGTGTTGTCTGTCATCATTGCATGTAGTTTACTGTCATTGAATATGCCACCATCAGAAATTCTTCCCTGACATCCGACGTCCGCAAGTACAAAATTGCAGTTTCCATCAACAACAGCAAACAACACAATACTAAAGTGTGTTTTATAATTGAAGAACTCACTGCCGGACTTTCTTGGAGACTGCAGCACGACGTGTTTCCCGTCCATGGCACCTACACAGTGTGGCAAATTCCAAACATCTTCAAATACCTTGCATATTTGCATCCATTCCAGAGGTTTTTTGGGAAGCTGAAACAAAATCATGCATCTTAATACGTATGTCTAGTTACCTGTATAAAGTATGAAATGATTTTTCTCGGTATCGTGTTTCAAATTTTTCACTGTAATCCCCTCAATATTTGGAAATATGTATTGCGATAAATAAATGTCCACACAAAGGAAGCAAGAAATGTACATAGTCTCATTTAATTCACGTTTATATTTTCCTTTAATGCTTCGACAATTGCTGCGCAAACTTTTGGGATTATTTGTCCGATAGCCTGTTTTGAAAATCGAAACAGATATTGAAGGCTTGCATGATACGAATCCCCTGTCGCCAAGAATCGTAAAGTCACTGCTAACCTGGAATATCGATATACACAGATTGTCAAAGAATAGTATAGTTTAAATTTTGTTTCTTACACAATTACATTCTTCACTGGATAAAATCAGTTTGTTAGCAGTACTAATGAGTAAATACAGGCCTATCTTGAACTGAGATTGGTTCTCGCATGTTGGTGGGCCTTTTCCCGATCTTTGGTCCGATTTTCATCAATAAATCTTCAAAGTTGGTGGGACTCATCCGAGTGAAGTTTTTATATTGGCCGCTTATTTCTTGACATTTGAGAGCTCATCAAGTCATTACCTGCCCGTTTTTATGCACTTCCCTACACCACCATCGTCGAGGTCTACGTTGCTGCTTTTGAAAAATGTATGCTATAACTACCGCAGCACCACTGCAGGCAAGCAAAGCTTCCTCGTCTTCCATGGTCGTGTGGACGGCGAAGACAGAATGGAACTGAGGTGCTCGCGGCTTGCGCGCCCCATTCAGATGGTTCGTTCCGTGCGCGTCGCTTGTGCGAGGTGCACCAAATCACTCCGCGCATCACTTGTAATGCCGCGTTGCAGCCGTGGCGCGCTCGTGTATCCCCACCTTTAGACATGTTCCCTACTCTGGTGTCAATGGTACAAGACACTGATAATCCAGTGCTTCCAATGGACATAAAAAGCTGCCTACTTGATCATCTCATAATGTTGAAAGTTCATTTCGAGAAATAATTTTGCAATGATCTTGATGAATTTAATTGGATTACAAATCCATTCGAAAATGCTCCTGGGCCATCATCTCTGAATGTAAATGAGCAAGAACAACTCATCAGTCTCACTAGTGATACTTCATTAAAAGTAAATTTAAGGAATTATCTTTGTTGGAGTTCCGGATTCATGTTGGCAAGAAATTACCAACTTGGAGCCAAAAAGCACTGAAGATCCTGATTCCTTTTGCAACAGCTTACTTATGCGAGAGAGGCTTTTCTGCTTTGGCAGCTATTAAGTCAAAGCATCGTTCAAGGCTAAATATTGCTAAAGAAGTTAGAGTGGCCATTTCTAATATTACACCACGTTTTGATAAACTTTGTTCTCAAAAGCAGGCCCATCCATCATACTGAACTTTGACATTAAAATGTTTGATTTTCTTTGCTGAAAAAATTAAATACTTGTTAGTTAAATATCGTTTCATTTCAATACATATTTTGGTTAATTGCAAGTGTTAAAACTAATTTTTAATTTAGGCCTAATATTGTGATACTTTAATTTTGAGTAAAAAGCAACTGGTAAATAGTATGTAGAAAAACACAAAATAAATTGAATGAAACGTTAAACATACCATGACTTCTATTTTGATAAAAAAAACAGGCTGGGGGCCTGAGAGTATTTTCTCTTGTCAGGGGGGCTCAGAGGTAAAAAGTTTGAGAACCACTGGTTTAGGGTGTTCAAGGCGCTCAAGGCGTTCAAGGCCTTCTAGGCCTTCAAGGCAGTGTACTGGGTTCTGTGGCGGCAATGATGACTAACTTGATCGACGCTGACTGACAATGATTTGCCCTGGTTCGTTTTGCGAGCGTAAGGCGAAATCATTGATCGTATATGCGGAAGAAGACTAATTCACTCTTGAGCCCGGCGTTACTGTATGGTTACTATTTGGAGAAGATATTGATCGGCTAATAATGATGGGGAATTTCTGAACAACTCGTAATACAAATCATAAAACCTAAGCGGAGGAAGAGGAAGAAGGGAAGTTGAAATTGGTTCGCGATGGGTTTGTTGTCCTGATTTTTAAACAGCTAACCAAGTAACTGGTAGGTATTACAGTAATTCTTGTAAAATATTTAGTAATTGAACTGTGTATGAAACGTTTTATACTTGAGCTGAGGGGGTTGTGTGCACTGGCAATTCTCAAATTTTTGTTGAGTATGTATAAGAAAGTGTGTTTGCACATCATATTTAGTAATTAAACCGTATAAAACTATTTACACTTTGAGCTGAGGGGGTTGCATGCGCGGCAGATTCATAAAGTTTTGTTCGGTATGAATAAGATGCGGGATAGTACAGTCAGTATAGCGGCTGGCTACGAGCTGGCCGACCAAAGGTACCAGATCTTTCCCCCCGGATAAAGCTACATGGTCGTGAAGCTGACCCCTCACCTACAGCTAGTGCCGAGGTCAAGAAAATGTGGATCTATATATCCACTCCCCTAGACGCTTTCATGGCCTGGTGCTTAATTGGTTAAGCACAGGGGACTATATCTTGATGTATAAGAGTAGTTCGCGAAGTTCAGGGTGACTTTCTTGAAGCGGTTTCTGGTCTATAAGGATACAAGTAAGAAAAGGTAAAGCTATTCCTTTAACAGGCTGCAAAGGCCCATAGGCTTGTGAGATGTTGAGGTTCCCACATTTTCTAGACAATCTGCTCATAAATGGCAGTAAGATTGTCAGCTTTATGCACCACCTGCCCTTTACNGCCGAGGTCAAGAAAATGTGGATCTATATATCCACTCCCCTAGACGCTTTCATGGCCTGGTGCTTAATTGGTTAAGCACAGGGGACTATATCTTGATGTATAAGAGTAGTTCGCGAAGTTCAGGGTGACTTTCTTGAAGCGGTTTCTGGTCTATAAGGATACAAGTAAGAAAAGGTAAAGCTATTCCTTTAACAGGCTGCAAAGGCCCATAGGCTTGTGAGATGTTAAGGTTCCTACATTTTCTAGACAGTCTGCTCATAAATGGCAGTGAGATTGTCAGCTTTATGCACCACCTGCCCCTTACACCCCAAGAAGATTCCTGGTACTCATTTCTGTTAGAGGCTGAGTCGACCCCAGGGCCATAGTATGGCCAGGATTAGGTCAGTTGAAAAATCCAGTAATCTCATCAAGATTTGAACCCATGACCTTCTGGCTTGTAGCATAGTGCCTCAACCAACTATGCTATCACATGCCCCCATGAGGATACAAGTGAATAGACTGATGTATTTATGAAGGCCCCATTATCTTTAGTATTTTTTTTTCTGTTAATGTAGATGGTCAAATTTTCATGGAGTCACTAGAAGAATAAGGCGCCCACTACCCTTGGTCCAGCATTAAAGTTATTTCCCAAAAAATCCATATTTTTATCTTCGGTTTCCATTAACTAACTAACCAAAAGTTCTTGAGAACCCACTAGTTGCTCAGCTACTCAAATTCTCAACGTTTTGTGGAACCCTAAGATTCATTACTCTGTTTTTATTATTGGTGCTGTCATCACAGTGTTTGTATAAACTTTATATTGTCACGTGTTGGGTGTATAATGCGACAAATAATTTCATGCCTTATTTGATATGGCGAATTTATTCCACTCACTCTTGCAATCACACAATTTACAATTTCAGCATTACTGCCATTGGCAGTATTACAAATACTGCGGCGAAAGATAGCAATTAACTGGTTATTCTTTCTCTAGTAACTCACTCACTAGTAACTGGCTCAATACTCAATAATCACTGAACTCGGCGATCGCTACATTGAAACTCGACTAACTAACTACTGAGTAGTGTTCACTGCTCCTTATTTAGCCTTGGCACGGACAACACAGAAAACAGTTACGTGATATGTACCACTGTTTCATGACGTGTTGGCAGGTGTGGCTAGCAATGCTGTCAAGAGCTGTTTATTGCTGCGTAGCAACTGCGGTATCCCTTGGTAACAGCACAGTCACTCTTCTGCTATGTCACCGTGGGGGAGGGGGTGTTTACCGAGCGTTGCATGGTAATGGAAGGGGCGGGGGTATGTGACGTCACTCGCAGACCGCAGAGTTCACGTGAACCCTACTTCCCTGATGCGCCATCCATGTCACTATATTATTTCATAACCTGTTTCAGCTCTTTATGGCAATCCTCAGGTAAAATAGTTACACTCGCACTCTACTTTGGCTCATTTTTCCCTACAATGGAGAGTACTTACAGTTGGGGAGGTCATGTATGTTCTTTTTTTATGTTAATGTTGACATAAAAAAACTATACAAAACAGTAAATTATTAAAATATTAAATGTTTCATCTGTTTTAGTTTGTTATCATTAAATAATGTTGATTTCTTGATCACTGCAGGTGTGTCTGCTCTTCAGTGCCACCATATAAAATTATATGTTAAATATTTAAAATATTGAATGTGTTTACTTTTGTAGTAGATGGTGTTATTAAATAATGTTTTTTTATATATTATAGCACTAGTGGTCTTCTCTTCCCTGATCTTGTATTGATTTTTAGACTTACAGTTTCCACTTCATATGTGCATTGTATTGCATATTTCTGATTTTTTCTTCTCTTATAGGCTGATTTTTTTTTTGTAGAAGGTGAATTTAATGTGCGAATGGTTAGGAGTACATCGAAATACCGCTAGGTGTCCCCCCACACACCCTTCTTGAATCAGTGTGGCAAGCGGCGTCAAGTTGAGAGGTTGGGTTTATTGTTGGTGAATGTATTTCCTTTGTTTTGTGTTCTGTGAGTTTGCGGTTTTGCGATGGCTGACTTGAGAGAGCAGCGTATCTGTATAAAGTTTTGTTTTAAACTTGGGAAAACCACTGCAGGAATGCACCAAATGTTGAAGCAAGCTTTTGGTGACAACAGTTTAGGCCAGACAAACTTACAACTGGTATAAGCATTTCAAAAATTCCTGAACATCAACTGATGATGATGATGATGATGATGATGATCTTTTGAATGGCCGTCAATTGGCACCACACCAGAAAGTGTCGCGAAAGTTAGGGATCTGATCTACAACATTGTAGACTGACAGTCCAAACCCTCTGTAACACCTTGGGACTAAGTTATGGTACATGTCAATGAATTTTGTCAGAGGAACTGAACATGAGGATTGTAGTGAAGTTTGTGCCACAACTGCTGCAAAATGAACAGAAGCAGCATCGCTTTTAAACCTGGAGAGAACTTCAACAACAGCTTTAAGAGGATCCACACTTTCTTTTGAAGGTTATCACTGGTGATGAAAGTTGAAGTTATGGCTATGACCGTGAAAGTAAGCTGCAATCGTCACAGTGGAAGAGCCCTTCTTCATTACGGTCAAAAAAAGCTTGACAAGTCAAGAGCAATATTAAGTCCGTGTTGATCTGTTTTTTTATATTGACAGTATTGTTCATAAGGAGTTCGTCCCTCCTGGTCAGACAGTCAGTAAAGAGTTCTATCGCGATGTTCTAATACGTTGAGGGAGGACATGAGGAGAAAATGTCCAGAGAAGTGGCGCATGAACGACTGGGTACTCCACCATGGCAATGCAGGACCACATATGGCTTACATTGTGCCGGAATTTTTGGCTAAAAACAAGATGGCAGTTGTTCCCCACCCACTGTACTCGCCAGACTTAGCGTCATGTGACTTCTTTCTCTTCCCCAAGATGAAAATCAATTTGAAAGGGTGAAGATTTGATACAGTTGAGGAAATTCAAGTGGAAATGCAGATGGAACTAAATACCCTAACAAAGAAAGACTTCCAGGATGCATTTCAAAAGTGGAACAAACGCTGGGATCAGTGTATGCTCTCCCTNCTGCCTTAATTTGTGGCGTTTTTCTAAGAACTGGCTGCCATGTACTGTGCGAAATCAATCGATCTTGCAAGAATAAAATTTGGACATCCCTCTTCTAAGAATTCCAATTGAGTGTGTTAGTGTGGCCAGCTCAGGGCAATATGATATTATAAACACAGCACATATCACGTCTCTGCTGTTTATAACTTCATAGGAAAGAAAACACGCCATTCATAACAGCTTGGAGGAGGAAAGTTCTACCAGAAGCAACAGGAATTTGCTGCAAGACAGGCATATGTAACGATGACTTAGCGCTCTTAAACTCGTGTGTCATTAAATATAGTTCTCCTGACAACAGGCCAGTGAAAAATCTAACAATCTACAGCAAAACCATCAATTATTATGGCCGTTATAACATAGGTGTGCAGCTGGACGAAACATTGACGTCGAACCCCCCCAGACGATTTAAATACCTTGACGAAACATACACGTCAAACCACGCTGAACGGTTAATATATTTTGGGAACTTTTGAATAGCACCATGTACTTTTAAAAGTATTTTAACATATAATCTTATACACAGTGTTCAGAGCAGAGGCTGATTGGTCATTGATTTTACTGTTGGCGGCTTTGTGTGAAAGTGCTACATCACTTGACAAGAAAAATGCTGCCATAGACCTAGCACACACTGTTTACTTCCATTGTTAGGTAGGTAGTTAGTTAGTTAGTTATTTGGAGAGGGTGGGTTTCCCCATGCACTTAGGGCTGTAATGGTCCATTGTGCTTCCCTCTATGATTTCTACCAGTCTCTATATCCTACCGGTATTGGTACTTACCATCAGTCCCGCCCAGCCAGCGAGACCGGCTCTATTGGCTGAGAGGTATCTATGATGCTTCCCCCATCTACCAGAGGTATTAGAGACTGATGTTGGG